TAAAACAGCGCGGTAAAATTTATACACAGGGGCGACGTTTAAGAGAGAGAGAGAGAAGTGTTTTAAGACAAATGCAAAACGCTGCAGCTTTCGGGATGCCGATGTAGAATATAAAATGCGGGAAAGAAGCGCTAGTGAAGCAATTCAACTTCGTCTTTAGAAAAGGGAAAGCCAAGTCCTCGACAAACGGAATACAATGAAATAGGAAAAGTGAAAATAAAAGCAATGAGAAATTGCTGACTTGTCTACAAGGAGAGAGGAATTCAGCCAAATAATGGACAGGACAAATTAAAATAACCGCTCAAGGAAACCACAAACAGCAGTGTATAAACGGCTTGTAAATGCACTAACAGAAAAGCATCAATCAGTGCCTGAAATTAGGATTTCGGCGATGTGAGCCACAAGAACAGTGGAACTCGAATGGTGATGTCCTACATTATAACGCAGTCAAGGAGAATGCAAAGTACAATCTTGGTTGTTATATTCGATTGGTATTTATATTTTCCATTAAAGAACAAAAAAATATCAATTTGCAAGCATCGAGCAAAGAAAATGGAGCCACATGGAACCTCATAAAGTTCAAATTTTATTCGGTGGTTTTCGAAAACTCTGCGCTAAACAGCAAATTCAGGAACCGCGGCCTGTACTACTCTCAAAGGACTAAACTCCCAAGTCATGCAAGGAACACTTTTTACAAAGTTGTAAAGGCAGTAGCTGCTATTGTATTCCCGAACAATTTGACCTTCGGCTGTAAGGGAAGAATCAGTGTAAAAAAGCAACTGTTAACTGAGTGCAAGAAAACCTCAAATCCATATAAATTACTGCAGGAACGTCCGGCTAGCCACTTTTCGAATTTGTTTTCCTGACACAAATAGATAGGTAAACTTAATCGAGCTCGAAGGAATGCAGTAGTTGCACGATGAAAATAGAAGTAACTGTGACTGGTTGCAAGACACTAGAGCGGGTGGACAATGCAGATATGAATGAATGGCAGAAAAAAGTCCCAGATACGCTAAACAGGTATGAATGAACAGTGCTGAAGTTGGCGCTAAATAACTACTACATGTAACCTAGCGAGAGTGAACCAACACATGTTGTCCTGCGTGAGTTTACTACAATCGTGCTGTTTGGAACTGTACCGACGCAAATTATTTAGCTTTCTGGCTTATTCAGTGCTAGTTAATGAAATCTGCTTTAGTCGCTAGTTTTATACTGGATCCAGACCGGTTCATGAAAACTTGTCAATGAAGTATACGCACCACATGTCACTTCAAAGTTACTTAAAATGAGATCTAAGGTTGTATTTGCAGCTGTTGTTGGCACGCTGACGTTCCGAATCACTAGCCCCAACCGTTCTACCATCTTCGTGAAAGTTTGGTTACGACCTCCGCTTATGTCACGATTGAAGTCTCCCACTACAAGCTTTCGGCCACCTTCCGCACAGATTTCTATCAAGAAAATACGGATGCTGTCATCCGTGACTCCTGGGCTAGCATATACGCTAGCGATGAGAACATTGTCCAATTTGAAAAACCGCTGCATAAAATCCATTTCCATTTTGTTCGTTCGTTATGCCGCCAGCATCTCGCACCTTCCCTAACATTTTTTCCGACACTAGGCAACATGCTCCTCCAGCCGTTCTGTAAATTCCGGTGCAGTCACTTCGTGATACTGTCTGAAACCCGCTAACAGCAATTCGGTCTCCCGGCAATGTCCAAGTCTCACCCAGTAATATTACATCGCTGGCCGTGAAAACTTCATCTTTTGCAATCTGTTGACTGTGCTTAGTGAAGCTTTGGACGTTGTGATAGATAATTTGAACAGAGTTGCGTGTTGAACGCAAAAATTTGAAGAAGGTTGTAATACGCACTGCTCCTGACGTCTGAACTCCGCTATTAGTGGATCATTGTTCCGCGGTCCGCGAGGAGGCTGGAACGACCCAATGATGAAGAG